AGAATATCTTAATATCTCGAATCAGAAAAAGTTATGCTAATCAAATAATTTAATGTAGTCTCAAAAAGATTAAAAATGACTATCAGACTAGTTAATTTCACTTGTCTAAATGTTCTTATATTACTATTGCATTACTATAATTGAAAAGGAGTGGCCAAACTCCTAAGAATACCATTTTAAAGTTGTCTCTTTGAAATATCAGCCAACTAAATGATCTTTGTCATAATTTATTTAGGTAATTATATCACATACCTTCTCTTATCTTTCTGTTCCTCCATTAACCAGCTCCTTGACCTGCATTTTCATGGGTGTAGGAAATTCCCAGTGTGGAAAACCAACCCTCTATCTTCTATGCCATGTTTTCTCCCTTCAGTAATAATTGTGAATTCCACAAGGCAGATAAGTATTACTGCATCAGACCTTTTCCCTGGTATTGTCATACCTCACAAAAACAAATCTTCTAGCACTGTCCCATAGTTTACCCCCAAAAGGTCAATTGGATCTTATTATTATAGAACTTTAAAGCTAGAAGGGACCTTACAAATTTTTCAAGTCATAGCTCACTGGAGTTAAAAAGAACACAGTCATTATTCTTATTTTGCAGGCAGCTAGGTGATGCCAATAGTGCACAGTGCGCTGGAAGACTCATCTTCCTGAGTTCAGATATGATGACCTCAGACACTTACTAGCTATGTGACTCTGAGTAAGTCACTTAACCCTGTTTGCCTCAGTTTCCTAACCCTCTTTGCCTCAATTTTCTCATCTGTAAAATGAGTTAGAGAAGGAAATGGCAAACAATTCCAATATCTTTGCCAAGAAAACCACTAAAGGGGTCACAGAGTTGGATATGCCTGAAATGACTCAACAACAACAAATTGTGTGCTAGGCACTGTGCTAAGTGATGAACATGCAAAAATGACAGCCCTTTTCTTCAAGGAACTTACAATCAATAATATGAAGAAATTGAGGTCTGAAGGTCATAGTCAACTAGCCTTTATTAAGTTCCTACTATATACTAAATGCTAAGTGCAGGGAAACAAAGAAAAGCAAAATACATTCCCACAATCTTAAAGGGGAGACAGCATGGAAAAAACTATGTAAAGCAAAGACATATAATGGAAAAATGGAGATATTCCACAATGGAGAAGGTACTAGCAAAGAGATCAGGTAACTTGCCCACGGTTATGCTGCTGTTCACAGTAATGAGTCATAAGATCAGATCTTATTTTACAGATGAAAAAACTGAGAATCAGGAAGGTTAAATGACTTGCCCATGGCTACCCAGGTAGTAAGTATCACTGGTATTGGAACCTTAGTCCTCTGATTTCCATTTATGCTGAACTACCTTGGACTCATACTTTGGTAAATGTGTAACCATATATATAAAATGATATGAAACAATAGCTATTTACCTTACAAACATACTTATTTTTTCCATTTAAAAAGGAGCTGATTTCTTTTTTATTCTAGTTTCTCATAAGTGTTTTCTCTTCTTGTACTTTTTGATTTCAACAAAAATGTAAACCAGAATTCAGTTTGTTTAGGGGTAGTTTTTGGCAAGGCTGTGAATTTGGCTAGGCACCCTCATAGCTAAATAACATTTCAGATAGCACTATTTAAATTTGGGGCTACCTTAAGATAATATTAAAATTCAATGGCCTTTATACTCAGTGATGATTGCATCTTCTGTGGAACATATGTAAAATTTTAAGTATTCATATTAGTAGTACAAAGTAAGAAGTATACATGTACAACCTTATACACATATGCTTAAATGTCATAGCATTATTATAATACAGAATCAAATTTGGTGTATGGATGAATATGCTATTATTATAAAGATGATCATACATACCTACTGTAATTACTGTAAGGTTTTTGGGTTTATTTTTCCTCCAAAAGTAATAAATTAACATTAATTCATCTTTGGTTTATATCCTAATCCCTTTTGTAATGAACTTCAGTACTTGCATGACAACTGGTGCCAGTTAGGGATGAAATCTATAGTTAGAACACTGCCTACTGGCAAAAAAATAAATAAATAAAATCCATGACTTTGGTCTTTTTAGCGATCTTTCAATCTGTTTTACAGAATACTTTTGTATTTTGTGAGTAGAATTGGAATTCAGGTGTTTTATGTAATTACTGATTTTTTGAAGTGTTTTAAATAGTAAATGGTGTTCCTAAATCTAGTTTTTGTCTACATCATTCTCCAAATTGTATTAACCTACTCAATCTTAGCAGTGCATTGTTCCCAAGTAGAATCAAGGAGTGCACTAGAAAGCAATATAAATAATGACCCTCATAGACAGAAAATGTGTTACATTTTGTCTTTACCATGACTTGGATGTCATGATGGCAGCTCAAATTCAATATAGCCCAAACTTAACCCATCAATAACTCCCCCAAACTTTCTCTTTCTCTGAATTATCCTATTTCTGTTGATGATGCCACCATCCTCTTAGTCACTCAGGTTAAAAACTTCAGTCATCATTGGTCCTTCCCTCTCCCTCATGCCACCCTCACATGCTACCAATTACCAACTTCTGTTAATTCTATCTCTGAAATCTTTTATCTATGTCCTTCCCTCTGCTTACATGGTGATTGCCCTAGTTCAGGTGTCTTCATCTCTCCTTAGAGCTATTGTAATAACCTCCTTCCTGATCTCCTTGCTAACAGACTCTCCCCTCAACAATCAGTCAAACAATCAACAAGCATTTATTAAGTGCATATTAAGTACCAGGCACTATGCAGAGTGCTAAGGATGAAAAAAAAAGTGAGGCACTCCCTGCCCTCAAAGAATTTAATTTATAAATTCACATACTATGACAAATGAAATATTTAAATACAGACTAAAAACAAATACTTTAGTACAGAGATCTTAACACAGCACATAGGAATGAATTTCTACCATCTCTAGTTCTGACCAATATTCATCACTTTACATTATATACAAAAAGTCAAATCGCCAGAATCCTGAAACTACTAAGAAACAGTCAAATACTTGTTTAAAGTTTGAATGGAAACTATGTTCTATTTAAGACAAATTTTCATAAATGTTTGAAATGATACTGTGTATTTTTATAAGTTTTTTCAGGGGTTTTGTTGCTTGTATGTGTTTTAAGGATGCATTAAGATTCATTTTCAAATCTGTTCTTTTATAAGATCTGAGATTTGATGGCTAAGATTAATTTCTTTCGTATTTAGGGTCATTGCACTTGTTTAAGTTCTAGACACTGGTAACATGCCTTATTTTGTGTCGGGGTGAGGGAGAAGGTAGGAGTAAGAGGAGGGAATGGGGTAGAAATGTATTTTAAGTTCCATTTAACAGTATTGTAAATTCTAGCTTTCCTGTGTTTATTTTAGGGTGTTTTCCCCCTGCATCTGTTGTAGTGTACTCATGCTTCTTCATTCATACTCCCTATCTTAATGAAAAGTAACTCCATAAATTCTTGTCAAAAGGATAATTAAAATTCACTCCCACTAAGCACTCTGATTTTAAAGTCCAGACCAAGGGTATCTGGAGAAAGTAGAAACAACATTCATGCCACTCTGGTAATAATAATTATGCACCTTTATATGGTGCCTCAGGGTTGAAAAAGCATATTTCTCAATGAACTTTGGGGGCTCCAAGGTGAAGGTAAAATGTTCTGTTAACAAGGCACTGCTGATCTATGCTTCACACAGTTTCTAACCCAAACAAGACACAGATAGAAACACATCAGCAGCTTGGTCGGAGGCTTTCTGTGACTTGTGATTGTTGATATGATCAAACACAAACTTCTCAGCCTGACATTTGAGGCCATGCATTAACCCATCTTTCCAGCCTTATTTCCTGTCACTCTCCTTCATGCACTCTGTGTTCCAGCCAAACCCAATCACCTGTTTGTTCCTGTGCTGCCCCTGCCTTCATACATTTATGCAAGCTGTCCCCTTGTGCCTGTAAAGTACATAGCCTACATCTCAAGCTTTAAGAGTACTTCTCTTTCTTCTGGACTCAGGTCAGGTGCCAGGTCCTTTATGAAGCTCTCCCTTTTATTCACCACCCTGTAAAAAAATCTCCCAAACTGGAAGAGTTCTCTTTTTCTGCTCAAATTTTCCTGACATACTTTGTATCTCTCATTTGCCTCTTTCACACCCTACCTTTTATTGTGCATCTTTGTGCATGTTTCATATATCCCCTTCCTGAAATAGAGTGTAAACTCCTTGACAGCAAGTAGCACTTTTTAAAATCCTTGCTTAACAGTATCTTATATGTAGGAAATAAAGATTAGACCTGTGATTTCATTGGGATAGGGCATTCCTCGATAAGCAACTAGTTCTATCAATATTAGTTAACTTCTGGTCTTAGAGAGTTGCCTAAAACACACCACATATGATTTGACCAAGGTCGCAAAGCTAGTGTGTTTCAAAGCTATAACTAGAAACCAAGTCTTCCTGGCTTTTGAGGCCAACAATATATCTATCCACTCTGTTATCCAGCTTCCAATGTAAGCAATAGACTTGTACATAGAAGGTACTTAATAAATGCAAAGTGAGTGCAATGAGAAGTTAAAACAAACCAAAAAAAGAATTTTATTATAGTTCCCAAAATTTTCTTTCTTAACCTTACCACCTTGACAATTAACTCATTGCTGCTACAACTTTGTTTTATATTCCTCAGCCTTTCTTTAAAATGGACTATTGACAAAATAGTTTATTGCTATATTCTCACATATGTGTGTTTGTGTGTACCTGTCTGATCCAGGCTTTGTGATTTTTTAAAAAGTATGAAAAATTGTTTTGTAATATCAAAAAGTTTGAATTTCCTGTTCCAATCATTTGACCTATACAGTCCCAGACTAAATTACTAATTGACTTATAAAATACCTTTGGAATGAGGACTTAGAAGTACTAGTTGCTGGCCCTAAATGTCCCTTTTTTACAATCCAGTTTTATTGATCTTTGGTTTTGTGCCTTCATTGTAATGACAGAGGCTTTTTTCCCTTTATTCTTTTCAGAGCGCTGCAGCAGCTCCCAGCCCAGTGCTAGGAAACATTCCCCCAGGAGATGGCATGCCAGTAGGTCCTGTACCACCAGGGTTCTTTCAGGTACACAAACAAACTGTGACTGCAGGAATGTTAAGGTGGAGAAACTCATGTGATTCTGTTTGAGGCTATGCAGGAAGATAAGTCTATTTTAAATCTTATGGTGAACATGTTATATGCTAGTTCTTGGTTAATCACAAATCCTTATCCAGTTTATAAACTATCTTTCCTTCATGTCTTCTTCACAATTTGCTTGTCTTTTGGCCATCTTGCCCCCTACTTGAAAGGGAAAGAAGGGTCACAATTTTGTTCTTAGTTTGGTAAAGGTTTGGTGGGAGAGATAACTAAAACTAGATTTTGGAGTAATATTGGATTTTATCTAGCCATACTCTTCCCTTCTTCCCAAGGCAGAGAAAACCCAAATTTCACTGTATTTATAAAGTATAGCCAAGTTATGGTCTGTCCAGCTATACCACAAAGAGCTTTAGGCCACGTCTTTGACAGGTGGCTCTGGCTTGTTAACTAAAGTGTTAAAAGAAGTATATTAAGTTAACATTTAAAAATATACATTGCTTGTTGTATTTTTAAATTGTATCAGGGTCATTCATTACCACAATGATTGCTAATATTTGTGTAATTGAGGTTCCTCAGGGTTTTTTTAATTTCACAGAATGGATTTCTTACTTCTGCCCACTTTCTCTCCCAAATCCTATCTCCACCCCCATATACACATGCTATCTAGCATATAATTATTTTCCAAATAAAATTGATTTTGTGATCTTGGAAAAAATTGGAGAATCCTTGTATTTTAACAAATATGGCTTATTATTATGCACTGTATTAGCAGAATTAATCAAGTATGTTACATATTATTTACAGTGAATTACATTATGAGTATAAAAATGTTTGGCTGTTATTTTAGTGCTTTGTATTTTCAAAATCTTTAATAATTAATCATTAGATAATCCATACTAACATCATTTCAGAATAGTAGATCAATGCCTTAATAAATTTGAAATTACTGAAATAGAGGCAAAGTTTCTGTTACTGTTTTGTCTGGACTAGTGATTCCTTTGGTGTGATTAACTCCCTTTGAGGAGACTTCCTCTACCCAACGCAAAATAGCCTTGGTTCTGCACCTTGGAATTTTAAGAGGGTTGACTGGGTGCATGTAGAGCATAAGTGACATTCACTCATACTTAAACCTAGATCTTTTTTACTTCAAAGCTTATCCTTTCTGTTCACAACTCCAGTGCTGCCTCTCAACGTATAGCAATTGAATAAAAGAACCACAATTAAAACTCAAAACTAATGATGACGTATGTGAATAAATCTATGAAGTTATACTCATTTACCCAAATTATATATGATCATAAGAAATACTATATGCTAACACATGAGTGAATTAATAAACCTGCATGTGTACCACTGTTCCACTGATCAGTTCAGTATGGCGGTTTTTTGTTTGTTTGTTTATTTGTTTTGTACTGTTTATGGTATCCCAGAGACAGCAGCATATCCATGATTCTGAACAATAGAATATCTGTAGCAAGGAACTTACATTATTCACTGCCTATCTTCTGTAATTCATAATTCACTGTATATTTTCACTCCTTTTTATTTTTACCCCATGTTCTCAACCTTTTTGCCATATAGTGGCTATTTTAAGCCATAATTCTTTAAAAGAAGTGACTCCTCAGGATGGGTTGCTGTAGGAGGCATGCCAGAAGCCTTTATCAAATTGAGCAAGAAGTGAAGATATCCCTTGCGGGGGTGGGGCTTGAGGAGAAGTTTACATGGTATTCCTCCCCCCTCTCCATTCTGTATTTTATAAGAAGAGATACATAGCTATAATTTCAGTTTCTGTATTTTCTGTGATAGAGGGAACAAAATGTTCTCCCCTGGCCTTTTCCAAGGCTCCTCACTCATGCTCTAAGGAGTTGGTAAGAACAATTGATGCAGTATGAACTGTGCTTAAATTCTATGTTCTGAAAGTAAATGGAAGAGTCAACTTTCTAGAAGACTGTTCATATAATTTCTGCTAGTAAAAGAAAGGATTTGAGCTACGCACCTGCCTCAATCATTCTATTACTTCATGTAATACATATGAAGGGCAACTGGAGAAGAACCTTTCCCATGGTGAAGGACACCAGTGAACATATGGAGTGCTGGCAAATAATAGAAGGCAGTTGCTAATAAAAATCACTGTACAAGAGCTATACTTGTAGAATACATAAATATTAGGAAAATATATTTTCAAATGCATAAATATGAGCTGGCTAGTCATTAGAAAATGTTAAGTAATAGATTTCAATTTTTAATTCACTTAGCTAATAGAATGAAAAAAAGTATGCAAAAACATAGATCATAATATTTGCTTCATTCTTTACAGCATGGATTTATCTATGCTAAGCTATTATAGAGTTAGCAAATTACATTGGTTTGAAATCCCACAATCTAGAAAATTCATATTTGAGCTTAACATATCTATCTCTAACAGTCCTTTCAGAGGATGATGAATAGGCCCCACCAAAAGAATGCCAACTTTTACTTCTACTCTAGTTATAGTTATGGGATCATAATAGAAGGGGCCTTAGAGATGTTTTAATTCAATTCTCCCCTTTAATTTTTGTGGAATTCAAAAGGAATTATTTTTATGTGTAGCTGAATGATATTATATTTTCTTGAACTACAGCTAACTTCTCTCACTTTACACTGTCTTGGGGAAATACTCGTCTGAAATAGTGAAAATCAGAATTGCAGAATATTTTTTTATAAGGATAGGCAATGGGCTTAAGTGACTTGCCCAGGGTCACACAGCTAGTAAGTGTTATGTGTCTGAGGCGGGATTTGAACTCAGGTCCTCCTGAATCCAAGGCAAGTGCTCTTTTCACTGCGCCACCTAGCTGCCCCCAATTACAGAATATTTTCAAAGACTTGCAAAGAAATTTTCACTGAAATACCTGATATTTTGAGATATACTCAGGAACAGGAATGAAGCTAATGGAGTGTTATGTACTAGGGTCTAATGTGTATAGAAGAATGATTGCTTAGTTAACATATCAAAGTGCCAACCATAGTAGTTCTAATCTTTGCTTAAAATGGAATGATACTGCATGTGGATGAATTTTAATAAAGCTTAAAAACAATTATCCTAAATAGATAAATCTTTCCCTCCTAATCATGTTTTCATTTTTATTTGCATAACAAGCCCCTCTTTTCATAATGTTTTAAGTATAAACTTCAGCTGACTCCCTAATAGAATTATCCCAAATACTGAATTTATGAAGTCTTTGTTAATGGGAATTTGTACCAACAAAGCAATTTTTTTTTTTTGGCAAGGGCTTCACTTGAAAAATGGGAATGTATGTAAATGGTCAAACTAAAAAAATGACAAATTCCACTTGCTTTTAATGAGCTTATCTTAGTATATTTTCTTTAGGGTCATAACTTTACATTTGGTCAAATATTAACATTTATTCTGAAGGATATTAGAATTTTATTGAAAAAGAAGTTTGCTTCTGAAGAGCATATCATTGAAATAAAGTCAGCAAATAATTGAAATTTTAAAACTACAAAAGAATTGGAGGTACAAAGGGAGATTTGTTTAATAGAATATAAACCATCCATATAAAAATGTAAAGAATCAAACTTTCTGGCAAATCCAGAAATATTCTAAAGTGAAATAAATTGTGACATAGATGAAAGACCTAGAGCAGCGAATGTCAACTTTTTGGAGTAACAACCTACTCCTTTATGACAGCATCACCTTCTCCAAAATTACCATATTAAAAAAATCATTTTTGAGAATAAAATACTTTGAGCTAATTGGAAACATTATAGGTTATTGCAAAAACAGTTTGGGAGTCACTTGTCTAGAGTAGTGTTTTTCCAATTGGGAAGTAAGAGAGAAGTTCCAAGTTCTTTTCCATTCAGCTCACCACTGGGGTGGCAAGAGTGTGATAGACTCAGTACTTGGAGTCACACTGGAGCCTTTCAGCCATGGGTGGAAGAGCTTGTGCTTGCCTGGCTTCTTGCTCTCTCCTCTTGGCCTTTGCAGAATGGCTGGAAAAGGTTGGCCAACAACAAATCTGAAGTCTTCTACCTAAAGTTTAATTTGATGATAATAAGTCTGAATTAAATGCTGAATTGTAACATTTTGTTATTTATCAATGGTATTCATTTGAAAAGGGTGTTCCACAACTATATAGTTAAGGGGTTTAAGCATCATAGTCAGTAACTGTTAGCCTGTTCTTGTTTCCTGTTGCCCTGCTGAAATAAAGTAGCTGGGTGCCAGACTGATTAGCTTTTCCTTAAGCTTAAATATATTGTGGCCATGGCTTAATAAAATAGAAGATTTTTTAAAAGGGAAAGCAGTTAGTTACCCTTTTTTGTTTTGAAAAATTTAGATCATTTCCATAAATACATTACAGATTATAGAACATTTAAGATTTTGTGGAAGAATGATCAGACTCACAGAGAATGGTGCTGAACTATAGTTTTTGTTGTAGCTTGAAATGTGTGTTAAATTTTTACATTTCTTACTTTAACTAAACTAGGAGAAATATTTTAGGCTTCTTGTTTTCTTTGAATTGTACTGTAAGGTGATTTTACATCAGAGGGCACAATTTTTTTTATTCCTTGGATCTTTGTCAACTCTGTATCTGCATTTAATGTATAATACAATAAGTCTTTTTACAAGGTGTACAAGCAGATAATATCATTATTTCTAAGTAATCTATGTCTCTCTGAAATATTCTTGAACATTGGGTAGGCTTCTTAGTTCATTTTCAGCATGCATTATATTTTGTTGTGTTTTTTTGCTTAATGGAACCACTGTATTCTAGTCTTCAAATCTTTAGTTTTCTTAACCAAAACTACTGAAAATTGGTTATATATGGATGCATATGAATGTAAACGTGGTACCTTGCAATAAATGTTATTGTTAATTATTATTGAGTTTACCAGGCATACTGTTGAAGATAAAGTATATATAAAGTAATTTTTCATAGTGTATAGTTATCCATATATAAAAATGTGAATTAATTTTTTAAAAAACCCTT